ATATATATATATATATATATATATATATATATATATATATATAAATAAAGATCTTGTTGGAGGAGATGCCTTAAGGATTTGAAGACTGAAATTTATTGTAATAAGGCTTTAAAATACAGATTGGGTTTTTCTTTTTTTTTCTTAATTGATATTACCCCAGGAAGAGAAAGTGAGAACTTTGTTTTGGCTTGGACTGATTGATGACTTTGGGACTTTGGGACTGTTCTAACTTTTGAAACATCTTGGTTGTTTTAAGAAGAAAGAGGAAAAAAAGAAAAGAAAAGATTTATAATGGCTTTATCTGTTGATGAACTGAGAAAAGAATATGAACAAACAAAAAAAGATGGCAAGGACGCTGTGAAAGAAGCTTTTCTCTTTTTAGAAATGGCGCTTGCTATCTATCAACAAATACTACAACAGATGGAGGCAGCAGCAGAAGAAGAAGAAGAAGAAGAAGAAGATGCCATCTTTAATGAATCTCAAAATTTAATTAAGAAAGAAAGGAGAAAGAGAGGAAGGAAAATGAAGGACTTAAGACTTAAAAAAACACCCAAGAAAGAGAAAAATAAGATGCAAAATCAATATAATGTTAGAAAACAAAAGAAAAAAGGAATACAACAGAGAAGGGAAGCTAACAAGGCAGAGGCTAGGAGAAGGGGGGTAAGAAGGCCTGGTGGGAGAAGAAAGGAAGGGAAAAGGTGGAAAAAAGCCACAAAGCTTTGAAACAAGATGGGGAAAGAGGATTTTTTTTTAGGGACAAAGGGTAATGTATAATTTCTTTAAAAAAGATTCTGCAAGGTACATAAGATGGTACTGTAGCATTTGTATTAGAAATAGAAAATTAGAATGTTATAAGAATTAATAAGAGATTAAAATATTGAAATGTTTAGTAATGATTGATTTTAAAACCTAATAAAATATTAAAGGGAATGTTTAGAATATTGAGTTTTAATTAAAGAGTCTAATTGACTATGGTGTTGATGTTATTATAAACTTATTATTGTAGCATTTGTTTTTGGAAAAGATAATTGGAATGTTATAAGATTCAATATTTAGATTTATTATTTAACTATGTATTTAATCATTTTGGATTTATTATTATTTTTAAAAAAAATTAGTAGATAGAATGTACCAAGCAGAATCAGATTGGGTATTAGGTGTTATTTTAAATGTTAATTTAGGGGGATGATAGAAAGGCATCATACTCTGATTAGTGATTTCAGGAGAAATTCTTTTTCCTTTTTACTATAGGGAATGAGACAAATGGACAATAAAGAATGGACAAAAGATACAAATATAATGACTTAAATTAAAATGAACTAAATAATGCACAGGGGATGTACACACATTGCATTTTGGGGGTGCAAGCACACACACATGCTTTGGGCACTCGGTGGTGACAAGGTTAGTCATCACTGATGTAAGATAAGGAATGGGAGATAAAGGAGTGCCTAATAGAGTCCTTGTGTCTGCCTTTACTATATTTATACTACTGTAATCAACTAAAACTCTATTTTTCTCTTTACATATTTGGCTGTGTGCTATATTTCTCAATTTTCACTTTTCACTTTCTTAAGGTTACTAATGCACTCATTAACATGCACTTTAAGTCTCAATAAAAAAAAATTATATGATCACATCATTGCATCAAGATTCATTTATGAGCTATGATTTAATTAAAAAGACAATGTAAACAGTGTAGCAGACTCTGAATCAATTCCAACATTTCAATTCTCTAAGTTAAAACCAAGAAAAAAACAAATTGGTACCCCTAAGCATCTAAAGATTAGGCATGAGAAATAGGGTAGGAATTTTTTTAGCCATTTTTGGAATGAGGATAAAAGAGAGTTTTCCAGGAAATACCACTGCCACAAATTTTAGTGGGAGCAAAATGGTATAGTGTCCAAGCAGATTCATCATTGTGGTGATGAACAGCCAGCAAAACATGGTGTGCACAAACACACAGATACATCCCTCTCCTTCAACAAAAGCACTTTTAAGAAAGATGCATCCTAATCTAGAATATATATTTCTGACAGCTGCATGCAAAAAAGCCTCTATTAAGTATAATTGTGTTTTGACAAGTCCATATTAGAAAAGCTGATGACAAAATTCCATATGTATTCCATATCTCTGGACAACTGAATAACTGGATAGAAGCATTCCTGTCAAACAGACAACAAATGGTCAAAATCGGGAGCGTCCTATCAAATCCAGTACCTGTCAATAGTGGTGTCCCCCAGGGCAGTGTTCTAGGACCAACTCTCTTCATACTCTACATAAACGACCTCTGTGATCATATTAAGAGCAATTGCGTTCTCTTCGCTGATGATGTAAAGCTGTTCAATACCACAGACAATACTGCTACCCTACAAAAAGATCTTGACTATGTATCTGAATGGTCAAACAAATGGCAACTTCAAATCTCAACAAATAAATGCTCTGTCTTACATATTGGCAAAAAAAATCAGAAAATAAAATACAAGCTGAATAGTCAAGATCTTGTTGATGACCCAAGCTCTGTAAAGGAATACTTGGAATAAAGGAATAAAGGAATACTTGGAATACTCACCTCTAATGATCTAAGTGCTAGAGCCCACTGCAACTACATAGCCAAAAAGGCATTAAGAGTTGTTAACCTAATCCTACGTAGCTTTTTCTCTGGTAATATCACACTACTAACCAGAGCATACAAAACATTTGCTAGACCAATACTCGAATACAGTTCATCAGTCTGGAACCCTCATTACGTATCTGATATTAGCACAATTGAGAAAGTCCAGAAATATTTCACAAGAAGAGTTCTCCACTCTTCTACTCGTTGTAGAATACCTTATGCCACCAGACTTGAAATTCTAGAACTAGAAAAC